ATTCTTAAGATCACTAAGTAAAGTACATACGCAAATTTATTTTTGACATATGAATACATTTTAACTTTCTCATTTACACAAGTTAATTGCCAGAGAACATTTAGTAAATTAAAAATTATAAAAAATAGGATGAAAACTAATAAAGACGAAGAAAAATTAGGATCGTTTTCAATGTTAGTTGAATGAGAACTTTTAGTGGAGATTACAATATATATATTTACCAATTTGCTTTAAAAAAATTCAAAAAAGTTTAAAAATAAAAATTATGACAATTGTCACTTTTCTATTGTACATCTTCATTGAAATTTTAACTTAACATGTTTACAATAAATATTTTTACCAGTTTGCTTTAAAAAAATTCAAAGAAGTTCAAAAATAACGATTATGACAATTGTCACTTTTCTGTGGTATCTTCACTGAAATTTTAATTTAACAAGTTTAATATACATATATTTACCAATTTGCTTTAAAAAAATTCAAAAAAGTTTAAAAATAAATGTTATGACAATTGTCACTTTTCTATGATACATCTTCATTGAAATTTTAATATAACATGTTTGTAATAAATATATTTGCTTTGAAAAAATTCAAAAAAGTTTAAAAATACAATTGTCAATTTTCTGTGATATCTTCACTGAAATTTTAATTTAACATGTTTACAATATATATATTTACCAGTTTGCTTTAAAAAAATTCAAAAAAGTTGAAAAATAAATAATATGACAATTGTCACTCTTCTATGGTATATCTTTACTGAAATTTTAACTTAACATGTTTAAAATAAATATTTTTACCTATTTTCTTTGAAAAAATTTTAAAAAGTTCACAAATAAAGATTATGACAATTGTCACTTTTCTGTTACATGTTCGCTTAATTTGTTGTAATATTGTATATTTAAATACTTCTTAAATATTTCGCTTATTCAATTTGTTGTATTTGTATATTTAAATATGTTCATATTATCTTTTTATTCAATTAAATTAACATGTATATAAATACATCTCAAGGCGATTATATATATATATATTGATATATATTTTCATTTTCTAACACCACTTGTTTTCTTTTGTATAACCATATTATAAAATAAAAAGACCACATCAACGTCAATATTATAATAATATAATCAATAAAGACTATCATTTTTCTTCGATTGAATTTAATAAAGTGTCTTTTTTCTGTCTAATTTTTATCCTGTGCGACCATCCTAATAACCGTTCAAGATTAAATCTTCAAGCATACCAATTTCGCTTTCATTATATGGTACATCTTCACTGTAACTTTAATATAAAATGTTTACGGTATATATTTTTATCTATTTACTTTAAAATAACTCAAAAAACTTCAAAAATAACGATTATGACAATTGTCACTTTTCTATGATACACCATAATTTAAATTTTAATTTAACATGTATATTTTTGCCCATTTGATCCAAAAAAATTAAGAAAAACAAAAAATTATTAACGAATATGAGATTGGGTTTATCCTCTGATATCTAAAGTAGTTGAAAGAACTAGACTAACCACGACTATACAGTGGTCAGGTTCGGTTAGGCTCAAAAAATTGATTTAATTAATCGACTAAGCATGTAGATTAAATGGGTCTAAGCTGACTAAATAGATCAACTTAGTCGACTATATGAGTTGTTTTAGTCGACTAAATTAGTCGTAGTTGAAAGAACTCAACAATTAACAACACTAATCACATGCTTCATCAAATTCAGCACTTGTAAGATGCTCCCCACGATATTGGGGGGTCAATAAATATGCAGCATTGTGAGCACATGTATTTAGATCATTTTTTCTCTTTTCAAACATAACTTTAATTTTATTTTCTTCAGATGGAGAAAAATAGAATCATGGCATGATTGTATTATGTGTTTTTCCAAATTTATCATCTCATTTTTTACGTGGGCCAAAGTACATTTATCTCTTTGCACTTTCAACAATGAAGTAGCTAAAGGTTGAATATAGCTATAAATTTTAAATTTTTCGTCCAAAATATTTCTTTTAATATATTATTGGTAATTTTTATGGGACAAATATCTCATACAGATCTTCAACAACTGATGCTTTCTTACATATTTGTATTTGCTCTATACATTTTATTGACGATGCCCATCTTTTTTGGTTTATACCATGTTGATTCTTATTATGGGAAAATACTGTAGCTGGTATGTGTTTATTTTTGAAAAATTTAACAATTTTTTTAATTATTGAAAAGTCTTTCAAAATCGTGAAAGAATAACTGCAATGTATGCGCTGCACAACCATAACATTGTATATGATGATTATAAATAGATTCAGATTTTAGAATTCTCCAGGCTGCTTTCATGTTAGCGGCATTACCTGATTCACATGAATTACATTTATAAATTCCTGGGCAATATAATCTGCCATATGGCGATTTTCCTCAGTATTTAAAAATTTGTAGAATACTGGAACAGGCGTCATCACCATCAAATTAATAATACTCACGTTTCTGATGTTGCTCCAGCCATCTGATACAATTGATAAGTGTGGAGCTTTATCTATTATATCTGCAACTCTCGCCTCCATATCTCCTGACGCTTTGTTTAGAAAATATGCCAGCTGTCTTTGCCTGGGTAAAGTGTAGATAGGACGTATTTTTTTAAAGAATTCTTGGATGTAGGGATTTTCAGTGATGTGGAAAGGTAAATTGCTCGCATATGCAGCCTTTGCAAACAATTGATCGAGCTCACTTTTTTCTTTGGGATTCATTCTATCTATGAAACCGATTATACAAGATTGAGATTTACATTTAGTAGCCTTGGTTGTAGATTGATCAGAGATAATGGAATCAAATGAGTCATTAGACACAATATTGTCAATTTGATAATCATTCTCACTAATTTCACCCAATTCTTCGTTAGAGCTAGAAATATTACAAATTACATTTATGTGATTTTTTGTAGAGGTTGATATTTTGGAATTTGTATAAAAATTTTCTTAAATTATGACAGGACACGTAGTACAGCTGCTTAATAAATGCTTGACCACTCTATCAACGTGGGTAATATAATAAATCTTGCAAAACCTGCATACCGCTTTAACTAATTTACCATAGTGTACTTCTTGAAAATGTTCCAAACTTGATGCTTTGGTTTGACCATAATCCCCTATATATTAGAATTTAACTATAAAATTTTTTGATTATTGTAAAGTTAATCAATCATTTTTACGACCAAAAAATATAATATAATTTATAACTTTTTACCAGAATTGAATAAATTATTTTGTAAATCTGACCAGAACTAAAGAGAAAATTTATTAATTTATTCAAATTTAGACAGTGGAAGTAAAATAAAGGAGAATTCATATGATTAATACTCGACTAAATATTTAATAAAATTTCAATTTATTAAAAAAATAAATCATGACTTATCTAAATTATCATATTTATTTATTTTAGTAATAAAAAAGTTCTGTTTTTATATTATAAAATTTTGATATAAAATTATAATTAAAACGATTCCTTCATGATACAAATATATTTTAAAATAATTTGTAACCATAAGATTGATAAACATGCTTTTAATGCATACTAGTTAATTATATCAAAATATTTATTCTCCAATAATATTTTAGAGTATTTGACGGTCAATTGGCCGACATGCCAACCCTATTCTCAAGTAGAACCTTTTTCCTTTAATATCTACTCGATAGCACTCAAGTAGCATATAATTTCTCCTCTCATATTTTAATTATATATTTTTAATATATTTGGTCTTGGCACTTCAATATATTTTTTGCTACTTAGTGACCATCTTTTTACATTAATATTGGATGAACACTGACAAAGGATGAAATGACGTGCACAAGCTTATTGTCATACCATTTGACAATTATTATATTATCTTTATTTATCAACTTTACATATATAAATTTACTCTCCCCGCTCCCACGACCTTCTTTTTTAAAGTCTCTATCGCATTTTAATTTGCAAACTTTCCAGTTACTTCTAATAGCCCCTACCATAAATATACCGATTTCTTTTAATTTTTTATTGAAAACTATACCACCACTTATCCCTAATTCGGATGGTGTCAGATTAGTTTGCTTTCCCGCATAAATCTTAAAAGCATGTATAGGATCCGGCTAATGCAAAAACTTTGATCCCCATTTATGTGGTTTTGATTTTATATATTGTTTTAAAGGACTCTACCCTTTGAAAATGGTGATATATTCATCAACACATATTTTCTGGATCTTCTATCTCGACTTGAAGATTATTAGATGTTGGAGTTGATGAAGAAGAATCATCGTAAAAAATGTACAAAATATCTTCCACATTGTCTGATTCATCGATGTCGGCTTCCGAAATGTCTCTTGACTGTATTAAAATATTTGGCATCTATAAATTTACAGAATCATTTTAAAAAATAAAATTATAATAAATGTAAAATTATAATTTGCAGAGGACATAGGTCTTATGAAAACGTCAAATTCAAAATTGGTGTCGTTTGATTGGATGTAGAATAGATTTTATGGCAAAATATAATTATAACTATATAAAACCTAAATATAATATAAAATAAATGTTTAAAAATAGTATTCTAAAATCCTAATGACTAATTTTGGCATCATACCCTTTAAGTTGATATAAAAAGAGCATAGTCATTTTTAATAAAATAATATTATACTCTTACCTTTAATAATTAATAAAAATTTAAGAATTATTGAATATCATCCACAGAATTCGTTATAAAATCATATAATTCAGTAAGATAAAATTAAGAATATGATTGGATCAAATTTAAAAATAAAACATTATTAGTTAATAATAAACTAAAAGTCAAATAAAAAATAGTGAAGATTTGAATTATTAAAAAACACTTTTTGTTTTTAGGGTTTTCTTTAAGCAATACTACACATCATTACATAGAGAATATTAATCATCATTTTAACAATATAAATTATTTTATTGAAAGTAAATGAAACATTAATAAATAATATTAAAATATAATTTTGTAATCATCGCATTAAAAATTTTACATCAAATAAGATATATATTTGGATATAACAAATGTGTTTTTTGTCATCATGTTTCAAATTTTAGTTTACAATACACAAAATAAATCATACGTAATTTAACAAACTTTATTTTCCGAATTGGAAACGTTTTTCTTTATATCTTGGATACTATATCTATATAATATTTTTTAAATAGAAAATATAGAAGTCATATAGGTAAGACATTTATTATTATAAAAATAATTGAGAAATTCTCATGAATATAAACACATGTGGCACATGACAAAGTATCTATAATTTGACCTCAGCCTGCACAACTGTTCGATTTTAGTTGGTATAAAATAAATCTTATCTTTATTTATTAGTCTCATTAAAATTAAACAGAAACTATTTGAGGACACCATGTTAAACAATGCTTTGTTATGAAGGTCTGCTAAGACATCCTTTGATTTACAAAATGATTGGGATGCTGTAATCGTGTCACGCTCCGTCGATTACCTACTCGAGCAATGACATACTGCAGTGCACTAACCTTCGTTTATTGGTAATGGATAAATCAGGTCACGAATGGTTAGAAGCTTATCCAGGCATGTTAAAAAATATCTTTTGACAAATAAGGAATTTAGTTATGCTTTGGCTATCAGACTTGGCCTAGACATATCTCTACCCTACTACTGTAAAAGGTATGGGGTAATGAGGCCAATGTTCCTTCTTATCTCGAACCAAGGGATACTTCAGTTATTCTCCCTGCTTGGTGGACATACATTAACCTTCTGGGATATAGGGAAACGCATGTATTAGGACTTCACATGTATAGACATTTTCGCCCTATCCAGACGCGTACGCAGGAATTTGGTCTGGGGGGGGGGGGATAATAAAATTTTTTAAGAAATATTATTGTTAATTAAAAATACTGAGCATAAATTTATTAGGACTAATAATTTTTCTAATACACAATTTTAAATTAATGTGAATTATAAAAAAATTATATATATAAACCGGCATTGAAAAACTATAAAATAAATGTGAATTATAAAATATCAAGTGAATATAACCACGATATGAATCACTTAAATGACCCAAAATTGAAATTTGAATTTTTTGAGCCTTTAAAATATATAAAGTATAAAAAATTTAAATGTTGGAAATATAAATTAATACACAAATAGTTTCTTAGGAATAATTGTATTTTGTATGTTTTGAGCTAATTTTTCAATTATCTATCCTTGCTTGGCGTTAAATGCCTATGAATATTCAAAAGATCCAAATCATTCAATCTACTTTCAGAAGATGTATTTCATAGGTATGTTTTTCAGAGACTTGCAGGTCCGGCCCCCGAGCCGGACAGTATTTTAATTTTTTTAATTATACCCGAGCCGGGCCCGAAATTATTTTAAAAAAAACACCCGGGCTGGGCCTGAAAATTTTTAAAAAAATATATCCGGGCCGGGCTATATATTTTAAAACCAAATATTTGAAATCGCCATTATTAGCTATAAAAATAATTTATTTTTGAAAAATTCGGGTCAGGCCTGAATTCAAAAAGCCGGGCCGTGACTAAAAAATTTTTTTTTTAAAAAAACCAGGGCCGAAAAAATTTTGAAAAAAAAAATCCGGGCCATGCTCTGCAAATAGAACATCTGCAGGGCTCTGTTATTCTTAAAAAGAGAATTCTCATTAGTTTACTAATGGGAAGTATATATATAACCATTTTAATACATTGGAAATGTAAACTAAAATGTGTTTGAAATAATGCAAAGCATCCATAGCATTTTTTGGGATTGTATCAACCATAGTTAATCTTTTAATCATAGTTATTCAGCTAATAAGGTATCATAAGATATTTTAACATCTTCATGATAAAAATCTAAGAAATATTTTTTTTCTTTTCTATCACCATCTGAAAAAGGTTGGAAAGGCTTTTGTGGAAGTAATATCTGCTGATTGGTAAGCACTGCATGATGAATTATCATTCATTTATTTGGGCTATAAATATATCTAAGAGAGGGGGCATTTGTTTTATAATACTTTTCTACTATCCTATATTAATGTTTTGACAATGAGCTTGCTCGCTGCAAGTGGAGGGAAACAAATATTAAACACGTATAACTATGCTTTTGACTCAACAATAACATATAAAATTCTTCATCAACATTACTCTAATTTCCTTGAGTTCTAATGAAATGCTCTCCGCTATTCTCATCTTCTTAATCAAGTCAATGTCATGTTTTTGAAAAGTAGTACATAAAATAGTTGTATAATTAAATAACACATTCTAATAAAAAATTTGGAATAAGTATTGAATCTAATAATTTTCTTGCTTCTGAGGAAATATTTTTTTCAAGCCATTGAGATATTTCAGTAATAGCATTAATAATCGGCTCTTCTAACTCCATAAAAGCTGTTACTGCTTGATGGTGGAGACTCGATCTCGTTGGACAAGCTAGCAATTTCTTTCTCCCTGTTAAGGAGTTTCAAATATAATTATTATCTGACTAGAAATTTAGATAAATAATATGACACTAAAATTTGAAAGTAATAGGTAAATTACGCCAAGGAAAATTTTGATAAAATAACTTAGTAGATGAATGTGATAAATAAATGTAATTAAATATATATATGAGATAGGAATAATATTTTTGAAAAATATAATCCGGCATCTGCATTTTTTGGCTTAAGGGGGGGGGGGGGTTTGGTCCCCCCCCCGCTGTTCACGCACCTGGCCCTATCAAATAATAATTACGATTCCATTGGGTATAGCAGAAAAAAGGATATTACAAAATATTTACATCTAGCCGACAACAATATATTTATGATCAATGTAGTTTTAACAAATTGCTCATTTGGGTAAGAGGCTAAATCCCTAATCAAACTAATTAGTCATAAGAGCCATAAAACAACAATCTCAAGGGCAATTCTGATTAAACAAGTTTCGAAACATTATGTTATAATTTTAAATTATTTAAATATTCATGGCTGACATCAGAGGAGGATGACTATTTTTAACAAAATTTTATTTTTTTTCTTCTAAATATGTTATCATATATGCAGTTTACATATTATTATAATTACTTTAAATAATTTCGATTATTAAATTAATAAAATGGATTACATTACAAAAAAAATGAATCTTATCTTTATTTATGAGTCTCATTAAAATTAAACAGATTTTTACTATAAAACACTGCTATTGATCTTTAGGTAGTAAAAATTTTTTTTTTAAATAAGTTCCAAATTGGCATAATTTATGTTGTCTTTCAAAAATATTAGGGCAGAGTGCATCCAAATTGGGGTGGAATTTTACAAAAAATAATATTAAAGTTCAAATATATTTCCTTTATTTAAACACAAACTTAGATTAGAATAACACCCATTTGAATAAAATAAATGTTTTGCAATTATGAATTTACATATAAAATTAAGTATTTAAATAATCTGTATCTGACCTACAAAATTTTTAAGCTGAGTTATTTTTATTTTTTTGGCCTGGTCCAAATTTTGACCTTTAGTAATATTTAATAGTATATTAAATTAATAAACCATATTGTTATGTGTTGATCAGTATTAAAGTTATATTTTGGTGTGATAAAACTATATATTTATTGGAAAAATTATATTGTATTTTTATATAAAAATGGTATATTATTTACTTTTATAATTATGGAACCTTAAGTCCACTTCTAGATGTCTGTTTTTTAAGACGGGTTTCTTAAGCTTTTTTTATTTCCAAATTAGGTTTGTAATTTGTGAAAATAATTTAATATTATTTTAAATTAATAACCATTTAATCATTAACAAAAAATAAATGTTTTTTTATTGATGGTGGCAAATTTATATTATGCACAAATTATCATTCTGGATTAAAAAAAATTGCTGGAAGAATGCCCAGAAAACCACTTTGAAAAAAAAAGATGCCTGGAAGTGGCATAAAAAGTCAATAATTTGGCATCAGCAAAAATAAAATGCTAATACCAATTTTCTCTGATTTTAGTAAATGTATTATATTTAATTATATTTATCAGTTTGGAACCAAAACTCTTTTAAAATTTGTAGGAACCAGTTTATCAAAGGTGCAAATAATTTATATTATATCTTTTAAAATATTTGGTGATCTATTTTAAAAAATTGTTTAATATTTTTGATTACTTAAACATTTTTAACTCCGTAAACAAAACCACCACTTATCAAATTTTGAAACTGAAGCCACCTTTTTAAAAAATATTTAGAAATAAAGTCCAGGTCCCAAATTCTGGTATTTACGTCTTTTAAAAAATCGGTCTAGTTTTTTAGGTATCGGTTTGATCTTTGTAAATCAGCTCAGGGTCATCCCTTGACTATTCTAAGAAAATAATTTTTATTTAATATTTCTAAATATATTGCAAACTGGACTATCTTGGCATGATTCAAATTAATTTTAAATCAATTTTGTTTCAGTTAAATAAATCACTAAATTTTAACAATAATTTAGCTATGTTTAGATGTTTGAAGCTAGAAAATATCTTTTAGATAATATTAATTAAAGCAACAACTTACATGTAGTAAATTGATCTCTTCTTATTCAAAAAATGACTTCAATCATTAATTATATATTTTCTATCTTATATGTCATTCAGTTATCAATTATAGACTTACATCATCAACTTCATCCTCACTATCATCATCCTCATCTTCCTCCTCTTGATCATCAAATTCTATATTGTCATCCTCAGGCTGAGCCCCAAACATATCTGTCTCATTTATTTTTGCTTTATTCATAATTAAGAGCATATTATAGTATTAATATAGGCACTATTTATAATATAAATGAGTATAAGATTCGATTTTTACCTGACATAGGAAGTTCACCATAATTTTTTAAATTCCTGGCTTCATTTGCATTGTATTTTAATATTACATCCGCTTTGGTATCTTGGTAATCCCGCAAACCAATAAGGATAATATCACCTTGACTAATCCATACCTTAATTAAAATTTTACCACTAAATATCAAAAAAAATATACACTTTTTTCCTTAGTTTTCCACGTATGTGACACAATCTTTTAACACCATCAAAGCATGATGCCTCTAGCCTCCCATTTCCGAGCATTTTGGTAACTTGTGCATATTCTAATTATCATTTTCTATATTTGAAAAAAATAAATTAATACCTTGGCCATCTTCCTTAAATATAAGCTCTCGTTTTTCGGTATCGTTTTCATTTTTACCTCTTCTTCTATTTTTACCACCCTTTCCTAAAGTAAATTTTAATTAATAAAGTAAATAGTTAAGATACCTTTATTTTTAGGCATTTTAGAGTTTTTAAAGAGTTATAAAATCAAATGGTGCTAACTAGCACAGTTATCGAAAAATGATTTTAAATAATAAATATTTTTCCTGAATTAAATACTTAAACCTGATATTACTAAAACTTTACTAAATGATATTATTACAAATGTTAACACATATTCTACACTCAGTTTGTTAAATTTCTAATAAATTAAATGGAAAAAGGAAATTTTCATTGATTTAGCAGCGGAACTTTTAAATGAGACACCCTTGAATAGGCAAGAGGAGGTCGTATGTGGTAGTCTACCCATGTTTTTATTAATATAATATAGTAAAACAATTTTATTATTAATAGTATTATGTATTCTAATTATTATGATTAATTTTACATGTAATATAGAACATTACTAAACATATAACATAATTAAAGTTTGTAATTCTATATTAAAAAATTAATTCAAATTGGATAAAATTACCCGTGATATACTTAGTGATACTGGAGGTTATAGTGGAAATGTTGAGAATGATTTTGTTCAGATCAAATTGAAAAAGTATGAAATAAATTTTCATATTATTCTTTATTATAAATGTTTGAAAATAATTAATTCGATAATCAAGGAATTAAGAGATTTTTTCTTATCTTATCATTGAAATTGTAATATGGCAAATATAAAAAATTAAGCTCTTCCACGAAAACTTGAACTCACATTTTGGAAATTAAAAAATTATAAGAGGTATGGACTTTAATCGTGGCTGTGATGCGAATTAGGCTACTAATTTATTTTTGATTTTTTAGACCCTTCTAAATTGAAAGAAGCTGTTTTTTTTAACAAACATTCATTTTATTTATTTAAAAAAAATATATATTTAAAATAACATGTAAACTATTTGTAAAATAAAATTTATATAAAAAATATATTAAATAAAATAATAATTAAACATTTAATTAGGTATGATCGACGGGGCTTAATGACCGATGTATGGATATGCAATTAGAACGACAGATTTCAGTTGAGATTCTCCGAAGGTAGAAACCTTCTTTTGGATCACCTGTGATTAAAAGCTTTGCCCTATTGTTTTGAATAATTTTAGGGCTTGGCGTCCAAATGATCCACAGGCATCTGAGACTACCGGAACAAACAAACATTATTAAGGTTGCAATATTTGTTTGTTTTTGTGTTTTCGACTTTCGTGATAGAGTTGGAAGAAAAAGATCTGGCAAAACGATCCACGCAAGTATAATCCCAGGCGAGAGGTAGATCTTGTTTCCAAGGGACTAGCGTCATACCATCTGGTCTGGTTTGATTGTCGGGGCTGAGGCCGGTGGTTCCAGGGTAGAGGGAATATTTGAGGATTTCAAGGTTCTGTTGATGATTGAATTGATAGCATGGTGTTTGGGTAATCTGCCTTTTGAGAAACAACAGTGAAGGGGGTGGTGTCCAAGACTATCGATGTATGTTTCACATAGGACGCATAATGTAGGTGTTACGATTTCACATTCTAAGCGAAGGCCTATGGCTATTCTGAGTTCTTCGTTTGGATAATAACAAGCCCAGTTTCTAACCATTCATATTATTGTTATATTAAAAACAAATTTTTTTATCATTTTATCTTTTTCATAGCCACACACACACACACAGAGAGAGAGAAGATAGAGTAAAGTTTTCAGTATTTTTCTTTTTTCTTTTTTCTTTTTAATATTTATATTTTATTATTAACTAAAACTAGTAGAAAGCCTGTCAAAAATGATGGGGAATGAGATTTTTTATTCATTTTTTACGATAGATGTCATGCCAGGTTCAAGCTCACAATTTTAGGAAGCATCCAAGATCTTATAATTTTAAAAAAGTTTATCAAGACCAGCTCAACCTAATAATTTGTAAAAGATATTCTCAAGTCAGGTGCAAGCTAATATTAATTTTGAAGTTCCAAGCCCAGTCCTACCCATTATAATTTTGAAAATTTTTTCCCACCTCGGAGATAGTTAAATTTTTATGCTTGAATATGAGTTGAATTAAGAATTGAATGATATTTATTTTTTGATAAGCCCATCTTTCGGCTGGAGTGTATAGCATGAGGTAGGGAAATGAGAGAAAATTAAATGGAAAGAAAATAGTGAAATTAAAAGGGAAAGGAAGGTAAAGAAAAAGAAAATTAAAAAGTGAAAGGAAAGGGAAATGACGAGAAAGGGGAAGATAATAAAAGAAATTAAAAGGGAAAGAAAGGAAAGGAGAATTTTAGTATTTTTTAAATTTTGATTTTTCCCATATTATTTGAGACTGTTGTTAAAATAATGAATTTTAGTGATATGTTTAGTAGGGATACATATGTTGTCGGCATAGCATAATCAGTCTACATTTTGTATGTTACTGAAAACTATTTTTGAGTTAAAATATATATTTTATAAAAATATTTACACAAGACCAACATTTAACATTAAAAAATAAAATCCCAATCTAGGTTCAAGCCTACAATATCTGGAAAAAATATCCAAGCATCCAAGATCTCAATAATTTAAAAAGATTTTCTCAAGCTCATTAATTTTGAAACCAAGCCCAGAGATATTAAATTTATAATTAATGAAGGGGAAATCTCTAATTTACCAATATGTCTACATGTAAAATATATTACTTTATAAAAATAATAACATAAGACTAACATTTAACATTAAAAAATCCCAATTCAAGCCTACAATATTTGGAAAAAATTTCCAAGCATCCAAGATCTTAATAATTTAAAAAGATTCTCTCAAGCCCTTTTCAATCCCTAATAATTTTTGAAAACCAAGCCAATATTATTTTTGAGAAATATTTTTTAAGCCCAGTCCAACCCATAATAATTTTGAAAAAATTTTCCCAAGCCTAGAGATATTAAATTTATTGAATTAACTCAGTTAAAATTTAAGTTATAGTATCATCTGTTTGTATAAAATAAATAATGTATTACTTTTTGGTTTTAATATGGACTCCTACAGTTGCATAGAAAATTTAAGTTATAGGATCATCTGTTTGTATAAAATACATAAATAAAATTAACAATAGTAAATAATGTATTACTTTTTGGTTTTAATATGGCCTCCTACAGTTGCATAGAAAATTTAAGTTATTGGATCATCTGTTTGTATAAAATAAATAAAATCAACAAATAAAAAATAAATAAATACGTACCGATGACATGACGTAGTAAGGACATCGGAAAATTATAATATAGATGACAATTTAGATTTCTCTAATCCTAACTATTTTTTTTATTGATACATTATAAAAAAATTACAGGCTGAAAAAAGGTAGAAAAAATATTTTTTGATAATATTATTCATATTAAATATTAAAACAAAGTCAAATAAAAAAGGTAATGGATAGAAAAAAAATGCAACTAAAAAAATCGTTCAGCGTTCATTGACAAAAATCGAACGCGTTCACGTTCAAGTTCATGTTCAAAAAAAAGGAACGCGTTCAAGTTCATAAAACCGTTAAATATTATAAATTTTTTAAATTTAATTTAATATAAATAAACTTATATTTTTTAATATAATATATTTTAGCCATGTTAAATATAATATAGTTTTATTTTGAGATAATAATTATAAATAAAATATAATTAACGAATAAAAAGATATTTTTATTTATAAAAAATTTTTCTTATTAAATTTTAATAACAATTGTTTTCAAAATATATCTGATAGACAGGAACACTTGGCAGTTAATACGGCATTATCTATATTAAAAACGCGCTCTACAGGGGCAGATGAGGGGATTGCGGTATTATAGTTAATAAACAGCTCTTTTAACGTGGAGAATTAATTAAAAACATTGTTTTGTTATTTGCAAAAAATTGAGATAAGTTATCCTCCTCCAATCTATTCTCTACTCTCGGCAAAAAAAAAGGGTATCTCGAAATTTACAGTTCTCTAGGGTTTTCAAAGCATTTTTTTCAATAATGTTATAAGTGTATTTTTAATAGGTTCGTTCTGTGGAAGTTTATCCATGGCCATTGAAGTTTGAATGCTGGATGTATAATTAGAGAAAGAACATATTGGTCCTTTAATATATGTTCAAATCTTTAAAATAATAAAATATATGTAATTAATTGAGAGTGATAGGTTTAATACCTTTTATTAATCCCATTTAATACGGCGTCTATCAATGGTTGACCATATTTGAGGGCACTAATTTTTTTAATTTTAAAATAACTATATTGTTGGGGTCAAATATCCCAAATGTATTATTTCTTCAAATTTAATGATTTAACTTAGTTATATCATATAAGATCAAATCAAATAATTATTAAAATCAAATGTCATTTTAAATTGGAACCTGAAGATTTTGACAATATAATACTTTTTGACCACATTTTACACTTGGTAAGCATTGGATTAGTTCCTTCAATATAGGATGTTAATGTAAAACATTTATCATATTTAGCCATAGTAATGATAATTCATCTGATTTTGGATTTTCAGAATCAGATGATGAGGATTAAATAATAATATCCATGTTTATACTAATCTATTAAATTAAAATATAAACAATAATATTCAAATTAATAAACTATGTGTTAAAAAAAATTGAAATGTGAAAAGGAAATACACAGCCGATTAAATATATAAATAATACATTTTTAAAAAATATAAATAATACATTTTTTAAAAAAATATAAATAATACATTTCTTAAAAAAATATAAATAATACATTTTTTAAAAAAATATAAATAATACATTTCTTAAAAAAATATAAATAATACATTTCTTAAAAAAATATAAATAATACATTTTTTAAAAAAATATAAATAATACATTTTTTGAAAAAATATAAATAATACATTTTTTGAAAAAATATAAATAATGGGTAGGTCTATAAGTCGAAAGGCTGCATGATACGAAAGGCTAAAAAATAATATTGAAAATAAAAATAACAAAGAAAATAATTAATGTGTAATTTGATTGATTTATTACTTTTTTTACGAGAAAAATATTATAATAACATTACATTATAATATATTAAAAAAATGGAAATTTTAAGATCTTTTCAATTTTTTTATTAATTCTTTGAAATAAATTGCGGTTTTAATTTTATTAATTTTATTAATTTTTAATTTATATTTTTAATTAAATTATATTTATTTATTTAAAAAAAATGGAAT